GAAACTGTGCAAATAGACTATAAACATTGTGTCGAAACGTTCCATTCTATCCTGTTTATCATCTGGTGGACCACAGTAGATTGTGATGAACAAACTTTTAGGAAAGTTCAATCCTTTTGTAAGTCATTTAGAAAAAGAAAGCAAAATCAAACCATAAATGCTCAACTGAAGCTTTCTTTTGCTTTTAGGAGACAATGGCACTAAATTATGCACACATATGTAATACTTTCATGATAGTTTCTGTATACAGGCAATGTACTGTATAATAATATTCTGTTTTGCGTTCAATATGTCTTTCAAACAGATGAAAGCATATCGAAAAAATGATATGACCACAAATATCATTGGTGGAGCTCCTGGATACATAGCAAAATTGTCAATGTTAAACAAAAACACAGCAGTGGAGAATGGCAGGACTTTCTCGCAGTGGTCGGGTTTAGTGAAGGACTTTCCAAAAGTCATCAAATCAAAGGTTGGTTTGGAAAACCAATGTTAATATATGGTTATTGTATGCAAATAAGTGTGTGCTATGCTAACCAGTAACCATAGAACATAATTGAACTTTGAGCTGTTGTTACCATAAATTGACCACCAAGTATGCAGTGAAACACATGCAATGATTTCATTCTTATATGAGAAACCATGTGTGAATTTCTGATTTGTGCAGCTCAGACCTCTCCATGAGCTGGTGAAAGAGGTCTCGTGTGCGGGGGTGAAAAAGACTTACCTCAGCGAGAAACACCCATGTCACTGCAGAACAATGGGCTGCGTGTGCAGGACAATAACGTCTGTAAGTGTTTGTGTAAACCAGGCACCAAAGGTCAGGCATGCGAGCATGGGACACCACAAGATGAACAACCAGGTACAGATTAATCACTTCAATTAATATCGCATAGATCAGAGGTTTTTACACTTTTTAAAGCCACAGACCCCAAATGATGATGATCCCAGCCCAATCTCAAGAGAAAATGTAACCATTTTACGAGTTGGCAATTTTAAACGATTCAATTATGATTATATAATTGATTCAAGTCAGGTCAAGGATACAATGAGATAATCAGAAAAAAAAATGTGCAGAATAAATTATGGAAACCTCTGCTGTAAAGCATCTCTAATTATATTATTATATTAAATTGTTATATTAAAAATGATTTGATTTAAATGAAAATGTACAATTTTTAGAAAAAGATTTGCCTCAAAATGTATAAATTGCCATGCCCAAAATAAGGCAGCTGAATATTTTCATGTATAAAGAAGACCAATTTACATTGTTACATACTGTATATTCTTTATCCATATTTAGAGTATTATTATACTGTATGTATAAACATGAAGAAAATTGTGTAATGGTGATTTAGCTAATGAATTCAATCTTTTGAAATCATAACGAAACAGTAATAGTGTAATTAAAAATATATACATTTAACTGCATTCATTTATAAATGTAAACATTTATTTTATAATAACTAAAAACATTTTATTTTACACTTTTTCTCATTTTTAGTGTATGATTTTACTTTACGATATGAGATTGGGAATGTGCTGTAAATATAAACATGCTTAATTTATATTTCATTTATTCATTTATTTCAAGTATCCAACTATTTTTTGGGGGTCACTATACTTGTTCCTGAGTGTCCAGTTCATGTCTTTGTGTCTTAGGAGTGATCCATGGAGACTGGGCCTGTTGGTCTTCATGGAGCTCCTGCAGGGAAGGTCAGAAGCGCTGGAGTCGCTCCTTCAGGCGGCAGGGACTGTATAGGGAACGCTGTGGAGGCCACAGCCTGTGATGATGAATTAGATTACCTACCGTGAGGAAAGGTCACCAGACTGTTCAACAGCACAAAGCTCTGTTCTGAAAAGCTGTAACAAGCTGTTCTTTACAAGGTGCTAGAGACCCAGAGAAAGTTACTGTGCAACAACACTGCCACTATGTGGAAACCTGACTTATTAGCTTTGACCTGTTTTCAGAATGATGGAGCCTCACTGCTTTGAAAATTCATTCACACCCAGGAAAAGTTGTAAAACGCCCCCCTTCCTCGCTAATGGGTTTGTTTTGGTAATAATAATTATATTATTATTAGAATATGATTGAATGTGTTTTTTGATATGTTATAATGTTGTCGTCTTCCCCTAATTGCAGTACCCCAAAGATGCGTATCCAGTGGGCAGTAAGATTGAGTATGCATGTATTGAGGGCTTTCACCTGATCAGGGATCCTACAGCAGAATGCCAAGAAAATCTGAACTGGTTGAGAAATCATATTATGTATGATGTATGAATATATGATGTATGATCATATATTATGCATTTTATATTCTGTATATAATTATTGAAACTATTTATACATAAACCATGTTTCACAAATACGTAATGATTCATTAGTAACTTTACTTCAAATCTTTTTATTGGTATTTTGTGTGACAATACAGATTGAAATAATGATAACAAGGTGAACAGTAGGATATTGTCCATTATTAATCCCTTCCACAATCCCCCCATTCATATTAACTATAAAATATATAAAAATAAATAAATAAATAAATAAATAAACAATAACAAATGAAATGAAATAGATGTAATTAACCAATATATAAGTAAATAACAAAAAAGATTCATTTGTAACTTTAAGATTATTTATAGTTCACTTAAATATTAAATGATATAAACATAATTACTCTTTTGTAATATATATTTTATGTAACATATATAATAATTATTGCTGTTTTAATTATTCTAATTATACATTTTAGAGAATGAGAAACCATGTTTAATTAATACTAAATGTTAAATAGTATGTTTGTTTTATATTGTTTATAAAATAATTACTTTATGAATTTTTATAACTTTTATTATTTTTATATTATTATTTATACATTTATACAGAGAAATTAGAAACCATGTTTTATTAATACTATATATGATATAAATACATAATATAAGTTTTGTTATGCATTTAAGATATTTAGAATAATTGTTTTTTCATTGTTTAAATATTAACTTTTTTATTTTTATATTTTACATTTCAGAGAAATGAGAAACCATAAATAAGTTATATATGTTTTATAATAAATGTTGCTTGCTGTCTGCAGAAACATTATGTGATCTACCTCAGCTTCCTCCAGATGTCACTGGAAGCCCGTGGAAGCTTACGTATAACATCGGTGAAGCTGTCTCACTTTCCTGCCCTGAAGGGAAAGTCAGAGAAGGTCCGGCTGAGATTCAGTGCAATGCTGGTCTTTCCTGGTCACCGCAACCAAAAGAAACCAGGTGTCTCACAGGTACAAAACTAGTGTGGAAGCTGTGCTGTTTTGTACACAATGTCAAAATGAAGGAAATGAAACACATTACTCAAACTTTGTAAAGTGACAATCATTACAAGGTCATTTGACAAATTTTGAAATGTATTGATGCATAAAAATTTGGTGTGAGTAAAAGTTATTTGTTTTCCCACTAGTTTTTAAGTCAGCCACTGTGCCAGTGCAATGCCAGCCATGGGAGAACCTGGCAAAGGATAAATGTGTCTGTAAAGTACCCCACGAGTGCAAGTATGCTCCCAGACAGGAAGGCTTTAGTATGTACATTACACAAAAGCAAAAAAAAAAAAATATATATATATTTTTAAATCATGTAAATGTCATAAGGCATTTTTTATACAGCCATCCACAAAAACCCACACATTTTATTTTCAGTTTAATAAAGGATTTTTTCTGTCTTCTGCAGGTGTTTCTTGGAGATATGTGCCACTCATGAGAAGCGCGGTCGGACACGGACACTGAGTCTGTGTAAAGTACAGGCTATGCGCCGTCTGGGACATCAGTACACGCTTGCTGAAGACAGTGCCTGCCAGTGGCCACATCGCTCATCCACCACTTGCTCTGGGAGACATGTGATGGTGAGGAATTTTAAAATACAAAATAAAATAATGGCACACGTCCCCTTGTGAAAAAGAAGTGCACTTTAGCATACTTTTAAAAAAAGTACTTAATAAGGAAATAATATATATATATATTATAATATAATATAATATAACCTCAAAAAATATGCTTAAGGGATAGTTCACCCAAAAATGAAAATTCTTTCATTAATTACTCACATGTCGTTCCAAACCCAATAAAACCTTTGTTCATCTTCGGAACACATATTTTCATATTTTTGGGTGAGCTTTCTGACCCTGCATAGACAGCAATGCAACTACCACGTTCAAAGCCTAGAAATGTAGTAAGGACATTGTTAAAATAGTCCATGTGACATCAGTGGTTCAACCGTAATTTTATGAAGCTACGAGAATACTTTTTGTGCGCAAAGAAAACAAAAATAACGACAATCAATTAATCACACTTCTTTTTCAAAAGGGTCATTTTGTAACATGTAAAACTGAGCGTGAAGACACCTTGACATTTATTTTGGCATTTTGAATGTCTGTGGTTAACACGACTTGACTGATTGTTTAACAGCATGAAGTACATGCTTTCATACCCAAACATGAACGTAGCACAATGCTTTAATGTTGTGAAACAAATCATGGCCATCTCTTCAAATAATGCTAACCACAGAAATTGAAAACTGCCTTTTGAAAAACCCATTTGAAATTCCTGAGGGAACCCATGGCCTGAAAATGTCAATTCTTGCTAATGTATTTTTGAACCTGGTAAGAAAAGTGCTATAAAGACTTAAAATGTTGCAGTGTTGCATTCAGGAGGAATGCTTGGCTACAAAAATTGTGTCATTGTAGAGCAAACGAACAGCTGCTGTTGGAAGACAAGTGAGGAATGCTCATCCCTGGACGCTTGGATCCATGTGTGCGTGCAGCAGGAAGGAGCGTCTGCACCAGTGACAATGACAGAATGTGAGGCGGCTGTGAGGAAATGCAAAGGAGAAGCAGTCCGCATTGTCAGCATTCAACCCTGTCAGTCATAATCTCAGAGCCTCACTTATGAATTAAATAGTTTAAATGAATTTTGTACCCTAAATTTACAATCAAAAAAACTACTCCACAGTCACATGACTTCAGAGTCACAAAGCTTCCATCTCTTTATTTAAAAAACATTTTTCATGAAAGCTTGAGTTAAAACAGGGACATAGTGGACTAGTGAGTAGATAAGTTTTCCTGTTTGCTTTGATGATATTTAATGTCCCAGACAACCTCTGTAGTCCCATTTAACTGCCTTTTTCAAGACAAGTAAAAGCTTTAAAAAAAAAATCACAAGGGAGTGTTTACTCATGTATTTTATGTCATAGAATAAAATGAGAATCAGTGGCAGACAAAAATCAAGCAAAACTACGTATCTTCACTTTCCTTAACTTTTTGGTTAGCCTAATAACCAGCAAAAAAAATAAGAAAGCACAAGTTAAACCAACATTGCCGTGTATTCCTGTCAACCTGTTCTGGACTTCCACTGGGCTCTGGACAGCATCATATTGAGCCAGCTCCAGATGTCCTGCCAAACTCCTGACAACCAGCCCGGATTCCGCCAACAGCTTTTCCAGCGTCAGCACTGCAGCCAAATAATTAACCTGAAAACCATGTCTGTTCCTGTAAACGCTTTTTTTTTTTTTTTGCACCCTCCATTACTGCTTCAGCATTGTTGCGAGAAAGTAAAAGGGTAGGCACTGCTGCCAGGTGTGAATTTCACAGTCTCCCTATTAATGTGCTAACAAATCCAATTACCTATAACTGACTGAGATCCAAACGTGATACATTTAATGGGAGACGTTGAAATTGGAGCCTGTGACCTGTCAGAGGGTTGTTCTGAGAATTGTGGATAATAGGGTGGATATCAGATGGTTTATATTGTTTCTTACTGAAAATCTGACTAATCTGAGTTTCTCTGATAAGAGGGTAATACCTATTGATACAGACTTTTATTATTCCACAGATTAATATCTGTACCTTTTCTTGTGGTATTTTGTATGTTAAAACCATTTCTAATACAAGACACAAAGTTCCAGTTTGTTAAATCATTAAAAAAAGGTTTATTACCAATGTAAAATGACACTGCGCCTTTTCATAAACACTACAGTATCTTCACCATGCCTGACACATTTAGAACTGTTATTAATAAGCAAGACCCATGCTGAGCCCCTCCAATCTGGACTTATATCACACCAGATGGATAGACATGCCACCCTTTACTGACAATCTCTTTAAAAGAATCACAGTTTTGAAAAATAATTCAGAGCGCTAGGTTTACATTTTATATGTACATCTCTAAAATTTCAATTTATAGATATATTCTTTATTTACAAAGGCTTCTTCAGGTATTATATACTCCTAAAGGCTGAAACAAAACGAAAAATGTTACAGGATTTCGGTTTATGGAAGACTAAACAATACTGTTGTAAAAACATGGTAACAGCAAAAAATCAGATCAAAAGAACCAACCGATAGGACATTCACTCATGTTGCAGTATATATATATATATATATTTTTTTTTTAAAAT